AAAAATGTTCCTATCACAGAAACATGTGCACCTCAACCAACACCACCATCTTCTGGATCTACAGTTCCATGTAGTCCAACAACAAACGTTGTCCCAGATACAACTCCTTCCGTTGTTACAACCGTGACACCACCACCAAGCAGTAAGAACCCTCCACCTCCGGAAACACCTCCTCCTTGTGGTGGTTCTACTACTTGTCAACCAGGAGCTCCCTGCAGCAGTTCTACAGCTCCAACACCTCCACCTACAACCAAAATCATTCCCATAGAGACAACAGTTCCACCATGTGGTTCGAGCAGTCCATGCAGTCCTCCAGTCTCTGAACAGACCCCTGCACCAACAACGAAAGTAATCCCAGTTCCTGATGTTGTGACCTGCAGCCCAGGGACATCACCTGGATCAGGACCAATACCTTGCTCAACGCCACTACCTTCAACTTCTGTAACTCCTCCACCAAGCACAAAGGTCGTATCACCTCCAGAACCATGCGCACCTGGAGTAACGCCATGTGGCTCTGTTACATCTGCACCAGAGGCTCCCTGCAGTTCCACAACGCCCGTTACCAAGACGACCCTGACAACTGCTCCAGTGTCTAAAATAAGCACGGCCATTGATTCATCAGCTCCATGTGACTCTACAAGCCCATGCAGTCCACTTACTGCACCACCTACTACAAAGATATCTCCACTTTCAACAGTTGTGCCTTGCAATAATCCAGATGTTACTCCACTAATCAAAGACTTTACACCTGCATTTTCCACACCTTCAATCTCAACAACTGGATGCCCAGTTCCAACTACAAAGATCATCACCGAAACACCACCACCACCAAGTGTGTCTGAATCCCCAGTTCCTCCATGTGGATCTACAGGTCCCTGTGGTCCAACACCACCACCATCCAGCCCCACAACACCATTCACAAAGACAACACTGACTCCACCTCCAATAACTAAAGAAATCCCTCCTGTTGTGACAACATGTGCACCTGGATCAACAACACCTGGAAGTGGCACCACAGCTCCATGCAGCCCAACAACCCAACCCGGATCAGGCTCAACACCTTCTTCTGGCACAACACCTGCCACATCACCAACCACTAAAGTCATCCCAACCACCGTTGAACCTCCTCCATGCGATTCTTTTCCTTCATGCAGTTCCACATCTTCAGTTACACCAACAACCAAGTTGGTCTCAACCACTGGTATTCCAATTTGCAGCACTCCAGCTTCGCCTCCTGTATCAGATACAACTGTAAGCACAGCACCACCACCTCCAGCGAAGTCAACTCTGACGCCACCACCAGACAGTAAAGCTACCACTGGTGTTACAAGCTCCTTACCAACAACACCTCCACCATGTGGGCCTTCAGGACCTTGCAGTCCAACACCAACGCCTGTGCCAGGCTCAACTCCATGCAATATGGAATCCCCTTTCACAACGACCAAAGTCACCCCACCTCCATCCACAAAAGTCATCCCTCCTACTGAAATAACATGTGCACCTGGATCACCAGTTCCTTCACCTGGATCTACGATACCCTGTAGTCCAACAACATCTGGACCTGGTACAACGCCACCACCAACAACCAAAGCTGTAACAAGCATACAAGAGACAACGCCTCCTCCATGTGGATCTACAGGCCCTTGCAGCTCCATATCAACAGCTGCACAAGAAACAACCCCATGCGGTGGTGACACATCATTCACCAAGACCACACTAACGCCACCACCTACCACTAAGTCCATAATATCAGAAACACCAGCACCATCTGGATCAACTGTTCCTTGCAGTCCTGTATCTGGACCTACGCCATCACCCACCACAAAACAAACTCCAGTGACCGAAATTGTGACGTGTAGCATTCCAGAGACAACACCTGGGTCAGTCACAACACCATTCACCAAGACAACTCTGACACCACCACCAACAACGAAAAACGTTCCTATCACGGAAACGTGTGCACCTCAATCAACACCACCATCATCTGCATCTACAGTTCCATGTAGTCCAACAACAAACTTTTTCCCAGACACAACTCCTTGCGTTGTTACAACTGTGACACCACCACCAAGCAGTAAGAACCCTCCACCTCCGGAAACACCTCCTCCATGTGGTGGTTCTACTACTTGTCAACCAGGAGCTCCCTGCAGCAGTTCTACAGCTCCAACACCTCCACCTACAACCAAAATCATTCCCATAGAGACAACAGTTCCACCATGTGCTTCGAGCAGTCCATGCAGTCCTCCAGTTTCTGAACAGACGCCTGCACCAACAACGAAAGTAACCCCAGTTCCCGATGTTGTGACCTGTAGCCCGGGGACTTCACCTGGACCAATACCTTGCTCAACGCCACCACCTTCCACCGTGACAACTCTTACTCCTCCACCAAGCACAAAGGTCGTCACAAGCGCAGAAACATGTGCACCTGGTGTTACACCATGCGGCTCCGTTACACCTGCACCAGAGGTTCCCTGCAGTTCCACAACGCCCGTTACCAAGACGACCCTGACAACTGCTCCAGTGTCTAAAATTAGCACGGTCAGTGAATCACCAGCACCATGTGGCTCTACAAGCCCATGCAGTCCACTTACTCCACCTCCTACTACAAAGATATCTCCACCGTCAACCGTTGTTCCCTGCAGTAATCCAGATGTTACTCCACTAATCAAAGACTTGACACCTGCCTGTTCCACACCTTCAATCTCAACAACTGCAAATCCAGTTCCAACCACAAAGCTCATCACTGAAACAACACCGCCAAGTGTGTCTGAATCCACAGTTGCCCCATGTGGATCTACAGGTCCATGTGGTCCAACACCTCCACCATCCAGCCCCACAACACCATTCACAAAGACAACACTGACTCCACCTCCAGTCACTAAAGAAATCCCTCCTGTTGTGACAACTTGTGCTCCTGGATTAACAACACCTGGAAGTGGCCCCACAGCCCCATGCAGCCCAACAACACAACCCGGATCAGACTCCACACCTTGTTCTAGCACAACACCTGCCACGACACCAACTACTAAAGTAATCTCTACCACCGTTGAATCACCTCCATGCGATTCTTCTCCTTCATGCAGTTCCACATCTTCAGTAACACCAACAACCAAGTTGGTCTCATCCACTGGTATTCCAATTTGCAGCAGTCCAGTGACACCACCAGTATCAGATGCAACAACTGCATCCTCAACACCACCACCTTCCCCAACGTCAAATCTGACTCCACCACCAACAACAAAAGTCATAACTACCACCGGTATAACAAGCGCACCACCACCAACACCTCCACCATCTGGAACCTCAGGACCTTGCAGTCCAACATCTGCTCCTGTATCTGACACAACTCCTTCAACAAAATCCACACCTAAACCGTCACCAAGTTGTAATATCATTAACTCAAATAATGTTGTAAGTGAATCAAGCTCTTCCATTGTTTCTAGTCAGTCTATAAGTTCATCCAGTCAGCAAGTAATATGTGGACCAGACTCAAGTGTTTGTGGCACCAATGTTCCTGTTGCTCAGACAACTCTTGCTCCACCACCAACTACTAAATCAATTTTGACTGGCCAACCACCGATTGGAATACAAACAACACTTCCTCCCAGTGGAGCCACCAGTCCATGTAGTCAAGTAACTCCACCAGGTTCTGACGCGACTCTGTCACCTTCACCGACCACCAAATCAGTGACAAGTCCATCAGAAACAGTTCCACCTTCTGGATCTACAGTTCCATGCAGTCCATCAACAGGATCAGTGCCTGGCACAACTTTGACTGCACCACCAACCACGAAGGGAGTTATCAGCAAAATTACAGATTCACCACAGACAACAGTGTCACCATTGGTTTCGTGTAATACAGGACCGACATGTGGATCTGACACAACTCCTTGCAGCAGTGACACGTCACTGACTAAGACTACACTAACGCCACCACCTACCACCAAGTCCATAATATCAGAAACACCAGCACCATCTGGATCAACTGTTCCTTGCAGTTCTGCATCTGGATCTACGCCATCACCCACCACAAAACAAATTCCAGTCACCGAAATTGTAACGTGTAGCATTCCAGAGACAACACCTGGGTCTGTCACAACACCTTTCACCAAGACAACTCTGACGCCACCACCAACAACTAAAAATGTTCCTATCACAGAAACGTGTGCACCTCAACCAACACCACCATCATCCGGATCTACTGTCCCATGCAGTCCAACAACAAACGTTGTCCCAAACACAACTCCTTCTGTTGTTACAACTGTGACACCACCACCAAGCAGTAAGAACCCTCCACCTCCAGAAACACCTCCTCCATGTGGTGGTTCTACTACTTGTCAACCAGGAGCTCCCTGCAGCAGTTCTACAGCTCCAATACCTCCACCTACAACCAAAATCGTTCCCATAGAGACAACAGTTCCACCATGTGCTTCGAGCAGTCCATGCAGTCCTCCAGTTTCTGAACAGACCCCTGCACCAACAACGAAAGTAACCCCAGTTCCCGATGTTGTGACCTGCAGCCCAGGGACTTCACCTGGATCAGGACCAATACCTTGCTCAACGCCACCACCTTCCACCGTGACAACTCTTACTCCTCCACCAAGCACAAAGGTCGTCACAAGCGCAGAAACATGTGCACCTGGTGTTACGCCATGCGGCTCCGTTACACCTGCACCAGAGGTTCCATGCAGTTCTACAACGGCCGTTACCAGGACAACCCTACCAACTTCTCCAGTGTCTAAAATTAGCACGGTCAGTGAATCACCAGCACCATCTGGCTCTACAAGCCCATGCAGTCCACTTACTCCACCTCCTACTACAAAGATATCTCCACCTTCAACAGTTGTGCCTTGCAGCAATCCAGATGTTACGCCACTAATCAAAGGCTTGACACCTGCCTGTTCTACTCCTTCAATATCAACAAATGCAACCCCAATTCCAACCACAAAGATCATCACTGAAACGGCACCGCCAAGTGGGAGTGAAACGACACCCCCACCATGTGGATCTACAGGTCCATGCGGTTCAACACCTCCACCTGGTACAAGCATAACTACGATCAGCACCTCAACGCCTGTGTCCAAGTCAACACTGACACCACCTCCAGTCACTAAAGAAATTCCTCCTGTTGTAACAACCTCTCCACCTGCATCTACAACGCCTGGGAGTGGCGCCACACCTCCGTGCAGTCCAACAACACCATCTGGACCCGATACAACACCTTGCGGAACCGCAGGACCTGTCACGACACCAATTACTTCGGTCATATTTACCACGACAATCATACCTCCATGCGGTTCTACCATTTCATGCAGTACTGCATCTCCAGCCGAGCCAACCACCAAATTAGTCTCAACTACTGGCGTTCCAATTTGCAGCACTCCTGCAACACCTCTAGTGTCGGATACAACAACGGCGTGTACAACGCCTATAACGAAGAGCACCCTCACGCCGCCGCCTGTCACAAACGAGATTCCGACCACAGTTGTACCAACTCCATCTGGTTCGACCATTTCGTGCAGTCCAACATCCTCCGTTACCCCAACGACAAAGTTAGATTCTACTACGGCTGCACCAATCTGCAGCACACCCGTACCACCTCCTGTATCAGACACAACAACTGGATTCACCTCACCACCTCCCACGAAGTCAACTCTGACTCCAACACCAGACAGTAAAGCTACCACTGGTGTTACAAGCTCCTTACCAACAACACCTCCACCATGTGGGCCTTCAGGGCCTTGCAGTCCAACACCAACGCCTGTGCCAGGCTCAACTCCATGCAATACGGAAACCCCTTTCACAACGACCAAAGTCACCCCACCTCCATCTACAAAAGTCATCCCTCCAACTGAAACAACATGTGCACCAGGATCACCAGTTCCTTCACCTGGATCTACGATACCCTGTAGTCCAACAACATCTGGACCTGGTACAACACCACCACCAACAACCAAATCTGTAACAAGCATACAAGAGACAACGCCTCCTCCAGGTGGATCCACAGGACCTTGCAGTTCCGTATCAACACCTGGACAAGACACAACGCCTTGCGGTGGTGACACATCATTTACCAAGACCACACTAACGCCACCACCTACCACTAAGTCCATAATATCAGAAACACCAGCACCATCTGGATCAACTGTTCCTTGCAGTCCTGTATCTGAACCTACGCCATCACCCACCACAAAACAAATTACAGTGACTGAAATTGTGACGTGTAGCATTCCAGAGACAACACCTGGTTCAGTCACAACACCATTCACCAAGACAACGCTGACACCACCGCCAACAACGAAAAACGTTCCTATCACAGAAACGTGTGCACCTCAAACAACACCACCATCATCTGGATCTACTGTCCCATGCAGCCCCACAACAAACGTTGTCCCAGATACAACTCCTTGCGTTGTTACAACACCTGCTACCAAGACAACTTTAACACCACCACCTAGCACTAAGAATGTGCCTGAAACAAGTGTAACACCCATTCCGTGCAGTCCTACCCCAACTCAACCAGGTGTTTCTTGTAGTACTTCACAAGCCCCAACACCTTTCCCAACAACCAAAATCACTCCCATTGATACAACGGTTCCTCCTTGTGGTACCAGCAGCCCATGCAGTCCCACAGCTTCTGAACAGACCCCCGCCCCAACCACAAAGGTGACTGAGGGCACCAGTGCGGTTTCCTGCAATGTCCCGGGAACTTCACCAGGAGCAGAAACAACACCTTTCACAAAGACGACTTCGCCAAGTACAAAAGTATCCGTTGTCACGGAGCTGTCTCTTGCACCGATAACAACCCCCTCATGTGGCTTGACCACACCCGGACCAGACGGTTCATGCAGTTCCACAACAGCGGTCACGAAGACAACGCTGACGACGGAGCCAGCCACTAAAATTAGTCTCGTAAGTGAAACCGTTCCACCATCTGGCTCTACGATTCCGTGCAGTTCGCAGGCTCCACCACCAACTACAAAAATACCTTCTAGTCCAAGCGTAGTCACGTGCAGCAATCCAGAGGTTACACCACTCATAAAGGACTTGACGCCCGCCTGTTCGACACAATCAATCTCAACGGCACCGACGCCAGTACCAACCACAAAGGTCATCACTGAAACAGCCCTACCGCCCGTGTGCGAAACAACAATTCCATCATGTGGATCTACAGGTCCATGTGGTTCAACACCTCCACCATCCAGCCCCACAACACCATTCACAAAGACAACACTGACTCCACCTCCAGTCACTAAAGAAATCCCTCCTGTTGTGACAACTTGTTCGCCTGTATCAACAACACCTGGAAGTGGCCCTACAACTCCATGCAGCCCAACAACACAATCCGGACCTGACACGACACCTTGTTCTGGCACAACACCTGCCACATCACCAACCACTAAAGTAATCCCAACCACCGTTGAACCACCTCCATGCAGTTCTTCTCCTTCATGCAGTTCCACATCTGCAGTTACACCAACGACCAAGCTGGTCTCAACCACTGGTATTCCAATTTGCAGCAGTCCGGTGACACCTCCAGTATCAGATACAACAGCTCCATGCACAACACCACCACCTCCAACGAAACCAACTCTGACTCCACCACCACCAACGAAGGTCATAATTACCACAGGTATAACAAGCTCACCACCCACAACGGCTCCACCAAGTGGGTCTTCAGTACCTTGTAGTCCAACATCTGCACCCGTGACTGGCACAACCCAGTGCAATCCAGAAACTCCTTTCACAACGACCAAACTTACACCTCCACCTTCGACCAAAGTTGACACGACTTCAGCACCGCCACCAACCACGACTGCTCCGCCTGGCTCAACAGTGACATGCAGTCCTTCAACGACGCCCGGATCGAGCACCGGACCTTGTAGCACCCTTACACCTCCCCCGACTACAAAGGCAGTCACTTTAACAGAAATAACAAGTATACCACCATCAACACCTCCACCTTGTGGTTCAACAGTTCCTTGCAGTTTAACGACAACTGGGGGCCCTGACTCAACTACACCTTTTACAAAGACCACGTTGACACCACCACCAACTACTAAATCCGTCCCAGTCACAGAAATACCAACTTCGACTGTTCCCTGCAGTCCCTCCTCTGAGATCACCCCTGTTCCCACAACAAAACAAGTCCAAACAACTGTTATTGTCACGTGTAGCATTCCAGAAACAACACCCGGGCCAGTCACAACTCCATTCACCAAGACAACTCTGACGCCACCACCAACGACGAAAAACGTTCCTGTTACAGAAACGTGTGCGCCTCAAACAACACCACCATCATCCGGATCTACTGTCCCATGCAGTCCAACAACAAACGTTGTCCCAGACACAACTCCTGGCGTTGTTACAACCGTGACACCACCACCAACCACGAAAGTAATTCCTCCAGAAACAACCATATCCGAGGTAACACCTGCACCATGTGGCTCTACATCATCACAGCCAGGAACTCCATGTAGTACAGCAGCTTCTACACCTCCACCTACAACCAAAATCACTCCCGTAGAGACAACGGTTCCATCATCTAGTTCAAGCAGCCCATGCAGTCCTACAGCTTCTGAACAGACTCCTGCACCAACCACAAAAGCAATTAGCTCCAGTCTGCCAACTTGCAGTATTTCGGAATCGACTCCAGGAATAGACACACCTTGCTCAGCATCAACCATAGCACCAACCACTAAAGAAATCCCTATCACGGAAATCACAGGTTTACCACAGACCACCCCTCTCCCGTGTGGATCTTCTGGACCAGTATAGCACAGCACCACCGCCTGCATCCGATTCCCCCCAATGCAATACTGAAACGCCTTTCACAAAGACTACACTGACACCACCCCCTGTCACCAAAGCGTCAGAAACGACAGCTCCTTCCTGCGGATCTACTGTCCCAAGCAGTCAACCAACACCACAGTCTAATGCAATTCCCTGCGGAACCCTCACACCACCACCAACCACAAAAGCAATTGTTGTTACAGAAGCAACGGGGATACCACAAACAACTGCTCCTTCATGTCAAACCACTGCAGGTTCGTCATCCACACCTGCACAAGAAACAACTCCATGTGGTGACAACACACCCTTCACGAAGACCACATTAACACCTCCATCTTCCACTAAGTCTGTTGCTGTCATCTCAGAAGTACCAGCTCCATCTGGATCAACCGTTCCTTGCAGTTCTGCATCTGGACCTACACCATCACCCACCACAAAACAAATTACAGTGAGTGAAATTGTGACGTGTAGCATTCCAGAGACAACACCTGGGTCAGTCACAACACCTTTCACCAAGACAACGCTGACGCCACCACCAACAACGAAAAACGTTCCTATCACAGAAACGTGTGCACCTCAAACAACACCTCCATCATCTGGATCTACTGTCCCATGCAGTCTCACAACAAACGTTGTCCCAGACACAACTCCTTCTGTTGTTACAACCGTGACACCACCACCAAGCAGTAAGAACCCTCCACCTCCAGAAACACCTCCTCCATGTGGTGGCTCTTCTACAGGTCAACCAGGAGCTCCCTGCAGCAGTTCCATAGCTCCAACACCTTCACCTACAACCAAAATCATTCCCATAGAGACAACAGTTCCACCATGTGGTTCGAGCAGTCCATGCAGTTCTCCAGTTTCTGAACAGACCCCTGCACCGACAACGAAAGTAATCCCAGTTACCGATAGTGTTACCTGCAGCCCCGGAACTTCACCTGGATCAGGATTAACACCTTGCTCAACGCCACCACCTTCCACCAAGACAACTCTAACTCCTCCACCAAGCACAAAGCAAGTGCCCATTACAGAGGTAACGAGTGTGCCAATAACAACAGCTCCTGCAAGTGGGTCTACAGGCCCATGCAGCCTATCGCCAACGTCTGGATCAGATGTCTCTTTGTGCAGCACTACAGTCCCATCATCTAAGACAACTCTGACACCACAACCGACCACCAAAAACATCATTCCAGAATCAACAGGTTCAATTCAATCAACAACGTATGCATGTGTTTCCACGACTCCGGGACCAGATAGTAGTTCCAGCTCATCAACCCCGATCACCAAAACAACTCTGTCAACAATACCGACCACCAAAGTTGTCCCTGGCCCTGAGCCAACCACCGCTCCGTGTGGGTCTGTGAGTTCATTCAGTCCTATTGCTACATCGGGGATAGACATCACGACTTGCAAGCCTGAAACGCCGTTTACCCAGACGACGCTCACGACAGCACCGAGCGCTAACATTGCATCCAGCACAGCGCCGATAAGTGGGGGTGAAGTAACCTCTGCGTGTGGCCCCACAACACCGGGACAAGACATCCTGACATCACCGTCAATCATTGATGTTGTGTCCACACCTGCGCCAGGTGGCTCTTCGGGCCCTTGCAGTCCGACAACATCTGTGTCCGTCACAACGGTGAGCAGCACCACGGTGCCCATCACGAAAACGGAACCACCGACAACGAAAGTTGACATCGCAACGGGCGTCATTGTAACAATCCCTCCATGTGGCTCTACAACTCCTGGCTCTGGTGTCCCCTGTGAATCGACAACAGCCGTTAGCAAGACAACAGTGGTGCCATCCGCAATCAAAGCTGTCGTCCCTCCAGCTGAAACAAGTGTAAGTCCATGCAGTTCCACAGTGGTTGGGCCGAACTCGACACCTTGTGGCGTTTCAACATCTACCCCACCGCCAACTACCAAAGGCACTGTCATTTCAGGAGAAACGCCATCGTTTAGCTCTGCAATCCCATGCAGTTCTACATCACCACCCTTGCCACCACCAACCATAAACATTGCTCCAGTTGACGGCGTTGTAACTTGCAGTGTTACAGAGTCATCACCGGGCTCAGGATCAAATATAATACCACAAGGCACAAACGTCATCTCTACCACAGTGCCATGTGGAAGCGAGATTCTCCCTCAAAGTGGTTCAACGGGTCCATATGGTCCAACTTCAGCTGGGGCATATTCATCTCTGTGCAGTACCACAACACCTATCACCAAGACCACTCTGACACCACCTCCGGTCACTAAGGAAATCCCTCCCGTTGTAACAACCCCATGTGGTTCCAACATTCCATGCAGTACGACATCACCGGTTACTCCACCACCAACGACAAAAGTGAACCCAATTACTGGCATTGTAACATGCAGTCTTCCAGCGACCTCACCAGATACAGGTGTGACGGCATCTGTCACTACACCTCTCACACCACCGCCAAGTACAAAGGTCAGCTCATCTGTCGAAACAGCACCTCCATGTGGGTCGACAAGTCCCAGTGGTTCAACCCTGCCACCTGGCTCGGTCACGCCAACTTGCAGCGTCGCCGAATCGACGGCACCCACCAAAGTTGCCTTTGCCCCAGGAGCAGTCCTGCCAGGCGATTCGTCCAGCGCTTGCAGCGCAACGACATCTTCACCGACACCGCTGCCGACCACGAAGGAAGTTTCAATCACGACCGTAGCTTGCAGCCCTCTGGAGACAACGTCTCCGCTGACCAAGACAACGCTCCCGCCGGCGAACAAAGACACGGCGGACGCAGCCTGCACAACTCCGTCGAGCGCTGCTGTTGTGAGCGAGACGACACCTTCTTCGAGTGGGTCCTCCGCGCCATGCGGTCCGACCACATCCGGACAAGCCAGCTCTGCCTGCAGCACCACGACGCCTTTCACCAAGACGACCTTAACGCCACCGCCGGTCACCAAAATTTCAACAGACACCGCGGCTCCCTGCTCAGCAGGGTCAGGCCCCGTGGCTACGACGGGTCCGACGTCCGGCTCCGTCAGCGAGAGCAGTCCCTCGTCTTCGCCGGCGCAAACAACGCCCGTTGTGTGCTCATCGTCGAGCAGTTCTGCTCCCTGTAGCCCCGTCGATGTCTCCTCCGTGAAGGCGGTGGTGAATCAATTGACGGATGCTCCCTGCACGACCACGTGCAGCCCCGCCGAACAGAAGTCTCCCAAGCTCGTGGCGGCCATCGTCTCCAAGCTGAATCCCGAGGCAGTGGGTGAGTTTTCACCCACAAATTGACCATCCTCCTTACCGAAGCTATACGACTTGTATTCGTTGGAAATGCATACTTTTTTGGCTAACTACTTAAGCAGCTCACACATTGTCGATTCAACAGTTTGGTGTAACACTTATGCTCACGGTGCATGCGTCATGAGCAATTGTGTTAGGATCAGTTATTATGCATTGTGATTTGTTGACGTAAACCCTCGATCCAGTAATAATCAGGACAACATGCGAATCAAAGTATTTACAGCTTCACCATGGGACCTCCTTTGCCAGTAACAAAACATGAGCATAGGTTTTTCCACTTTTATCTGGCAACAAAACGCCTTTTGGCGTCCTCTGGTCTAACACCGTTTGAGACGAGGCTCAAAAGAAAGCTGTCTCTGGTGTGGACCAATCAGCTTCAAAGACAATGCATATATTATCAGAGTATGTTCTATGTTTGCATTTTGACCACAAGTATTGTGGTTAATGCAGACGCCCGAACTGCAACAGTGTGCTGATTGAGGCCTTTATGTAAAAGTCGATTGAAAAAATGGCCCTACATTTGAATCGAGCTGAGATGTTTCTTAGACTACCACCCCCCAACGCTATGTTTCCCCGTGCATGGCGGCGCAGTGCTGCCCGGAGCGTGCCCGGGACTCTGCGACACGTCCCACTGTCCCGCGCCGTGCCCCGCTGGCACCGTGTGCGATGGCCTCAAGTGCGTGGACCCGGCAGACTGCCCCTGCTTCGTCAGAGGCATCGCTCGCAAGGTGACCAACGGCGCCTTCACTCGGCCTGTCTCACCTTGTTCTGGTTTTTGTTGTTGCTTTATTCCTCTTCTTGACGTAACGGTATCTGTAAACCTTTTCCGGGACTGTAGATGTCCCGCTTTTGGTCAGCGATGTATTAATGCACAATGCGAGCGTGTAGGACTTTTTTTCTCCTTCTTCTGATATTACGAGATATTATTATTTCCGTATGTGCTGGGGTGTTTCGCACCGCAGAGGTGGTGGAATCCATAACGTCCATGCACGGGCGAATGTTTGGTAAATTTACGTCCGAATTCTTGAGAAATGTATTGAGTCCTCCGTGAACATTTGTTGGGTAACCATGGCAATGTGTTTTCGCAGTTTAGTAGAGGTTTTAATTTGGTTCATAGTGGAGTTAACAATGTGATCTTATGCTTTGTAAATATAAGCATGCATTAATTCCTTATTTAGTAAATTCAGAAAGAGGAATAATGAGTATAATGACATTTACACAAGAAAGCCTCAATAAGTCTCAATACTCTTATTTAAGGAGGGTCCTGCATTGGGACGTTTGATCAAATATATTGAGAGGGACTGTGATGATGCTGTTTCACCTTCAACAGCTGTGACTTGATTGATCAAGGCAATGATTCAATCCACAGATCGTATTAAGTTGAAGCCTGACTACATTCCCTTTAAATCTACTGTAATATTACAGTGTAATCTAAAAAGTAGTACAAAAAATACATGGCCAGCAAATTAGGGCTTCAGTAAGAATATAAGTACTGATGGATTATTGAGCTAAGCCTCTAGTAGACATTACGTCACTCGCTATTGACCCTATCGAAACTTGACATCAGTGACAAGTGGAATGTCAGCCTGTCCTGGACCTTCTGTAGGCTGGCTTTGCCTTCAACGAGTATCTTGTTCGCTGTGTTGACATTCGCACTGGAGAGGTAAAAAAAGAAATAGGACGGGTGTGAAATGTCGTTCAATCCCATTTCACGAGGCCTTCGCCCAATCAGGCACTACTCAAACGCAATGACATCGTTGTTCTATTCCGTTTCGTGTTTCCCGAATGCAGAGCGGTTACATCTGGAAGGAGAATTCTGGCTGCACCACGTGCATGTGCGTGGCTGGACAGACGCAGTGCGTGGATGAGCAGTGCAGCATCTGCTCCTGTGCCGAGGTTCGTGCGCGGCAGCTCGCACGGCTCAACTCGCTTCTGCTGTCAGAAACTACGACAGCAATTTAGTGATGGCATTGTCTGTCTCTCTGTCTGCCTGGCTGCCTACCTACCTGTCTGCCTACCTGTTTTGTGTGTGTTAATTTGGTGTTCTTCCCCGCACCTCCTATTAGCACAGTTGGTTACATACGGTGCAAAAGAAGTTCAACATACATGAACTATTTTTTAACTATAAACTTATTTTTTATTTTCGCAGGTCAGAGTCCACTGAGCTGCATAGCTCTTTTTCAGATGCGACCTAGTCACAAATGATTGCCCAATGAAGTGGCTTATCAAGTGGAAATTCATAGCAGCTAAATACTCTAAATGTACATACATTGCTCTGCCTGCCTGTCTGCATTGTCTGTCTGCCTGTCTGAATATCTGTCTTTCTTCTTGCTTATCTGTCTGTCTGTCTACCTGCCTGTCTCTCCAATCGACTGTCTGAATATCTGTCTTTCTTCTTGCTTGTCTGTCTGTCTGTCTACCTGCCTGTCTCTCCAACTGACTGTCTGGTTGTCTGTCCGCGTCTTCTGTTCACATTAGGGTGAGCACCCGGTGGTTCCAGAGGGCGAATGCTGCCCAGTGTGCGTGCCTATGCCGTACGCATGCAGGGACCAGCGTGGAAATGAATACAGGGTAAGCTGCTCGACACGTGTTTTTTTCGTTTGTTCACCATGACGCATTCATCACATTGGTAGAGACCATGCCCCTCTCTTGTCTGAGTGCTCGATATGGATAGAGGAGGCCAATCACAGTGAGCAGAGAGCATCACGCAACGAGTGAAATTCATTGCGATGCCATAAATTGCTAGAATCTAACCAGCAAGCCAGGTGTCATAGTTAAAGCGCCATCTAATTATTTTAAAATTATAATTTTGTGATACAATTATTTCAATTTAATAGTCATAATGGTTAAATCTTTTTTTTGTTAAACATCCAATTACAATGCCGGGTCAACGATATCACCAGTGGGCAGTGCAGCAAAAATAAATTGTTTTACTGTACTACGCTCCGGCGTCTATGCCAACCGCCTTCACCAGCACCCATCGGCCAGCGTGGCGAAATATGGTCGACGAACCGCAACGACCCGCCCGGCCGTGGGTAGGCCCTGATCCAAAGGTGAATAGACTCAAAGGGGCTGTACATGTACGCGCGTTCAAGCGGACCAACGAATTAACGAATGGCTACTCCTGCCCCCCCCCCCCCCGGTTCAAGTTCAAGTTCATTGATTAGGTATAGCCCTGTGAGCCATTCGGCTCTTGAATCGGGTGCAACCGCAACAAACAGAAAACAAAAACATGAACAAAAAAACATCTTAAAGTAACTATGTGCAAACAGAAAATCCAAGAAAAGACAGCAAAATATTGCAGAAAAAGCACCGTACACCAACGCTGTGTGCAAAAATCCCAGTGAGATGCAAGTCAAACAACAACAACAACAACAACCACAAGACAACTTAGATTAAGGCCATCAGTCTAACTCTGTACTACAACAAACAAACATGGCCAAACCAAAAAAAATCACCAAAATAATGCAATAAAAGCAATGAAACAGTAATCATAGGAACTGTGACCGAATTTTCACAATAAATGACGTAAACAACCCGAGTTGCTCGTGACCCCGCTGTGCCGTCTCCCGTTTGAATGCCGTGTCGCGCAGCTGGGCGAGGTGTTCGCGCTCCCGTATGACGCGTGCCAGCAGTGCACCTGCACGGAGGCCGGCCTCTCTTGCTCGATCGTTGTCTGCGCCGACACCAGCAGGCCCTGCTGTGGGACCAACGAGATGCTCGTGCAGGTCAACGTGGGGGCATGCTGCCCCGTCTACGAGTGCGGTACGGCCTCATCTTTTGTTTCGAACTTTATTTCATGGAAATGCAAAATAAAGGGGTTTTTTGTTCGTTACATTTTGTTTCATTACAATCGACTTGATGCAACTCGGGTCATCGTCGCAAAAGAGGTCTCAATGGGCTTTTATTTTCATCTCCTTGTTAAAAAAAAAGTATAGTACTTAAATAATGGATACTAGATCTCACATTGAGAGCAATGGCCCACACTTCAGAGGATGCAGCAGGCAAATATATAATTGGCCCTGAATTAATCTCTCCACTGAGTGGTGGTGCATGGGTTTGCACATTGCGCTATGGATCTATCACTTTGATTTTATTCCCGGCCATGGCTCTTATCAGTGTCGAGTGAAATCTAAACCAGTTTTGGGTCTCTCTTTCAATAACCCGCACTGACCAGCGGTTAAGCGATTCATATATGTGGTATGTAATGAGTTAATGTGAACCATACTGGGATCGCTCCATTCATCACAATGTAGTTATTGAATTGATTTGCAATGCTAAATCACAACAATTGATCATATGCATAGAATATGCATACATCGAGCATTCAGGAGTCGGTCACTTCATTCATCAAGAATTGAGTTCAGAGTGAAGTTGGTAGAGACAAGATAACTCCATGGGTCTCTGAGCGGCAGTGCAGCGGTTAGCGTGCTGCGCTACAAACCCGACGACACGAGTTTGATTCCCGCTCATGGCTAACACCAGTGACCATTATCTGAAATCGTCCGGGGCCTCCCCTAGGTCGACTCAGTCTCAAATGAGTACCTGATGCGGTGTGTAAACATCGCCACTGGAGAAACAAAGGCGGTCGGGAGTGGTGCTGTGGCCACCCACCGGGTCGTGTGCCATGCCGGCCTTCATATGTGTTCGCTAAACGGCACGTGACTCTCCAGTCTGTTTAGGCTATGGCGGGGCATGTTTGCATTCGTCTAACACGGCACTCACTTGCTGACTTGCAGTGTGTAACAAGAGCTCCTGCTCTGAGGTGAAACCCGTGTGCAACGACTACGAAGACCTCGTCGTGACCAACCCTGGCGCCTGCTGCGAGGAATTCGCCTGCCGTGAGTGACAAATGGACACAATCACACACACGCACACGCAACAACAACAACTTCCATTCGCCACTAAGTGGCGGTGACGTTACCACGACGCTTGTGCCAGGCCATGTGCACCTTGAGGCCACGTGAAGTGTCGAACGCCCGCTGGCAGGAGGTCACGGGGCAGACCCAGGTGCCACGGGTCGACTGACTGAGATGACACACACGAACACACAGACGCACACACAGACGCGTAATTAAAGCTACCACTTATCTTGGGGCAGTTCCGCTTTCTGTGAGGCTGCCCTGGTGTGTTCTGAAGAATGAGAGACCAAACAAACGAGTGATTTTGACCCGGTTTGACATTTTCTTGCCGAATGCGCAACAAGGCCATGTCTATCTTAGTAGTGGGATGGGTTGGTAAAGCATTTGGCAGGGTCGATTAGCAGTAGATAGAAACAGCGTCAAAAAGAGCACCGCCTTTCGCTGTATGGACTTTGATTGAGTGGACATGGCTATGGATGGAGCAGCTACCAGCTCGCCGTGTACCTCAATAAAGCCTCCCAAACAGTCCGATAAGCCTTGCACGCAATGAAGCGATGGCAATGCCTGCTCGTACCGTGCGAAGCTCGGCTCAGCGTGAGTTCACTCGTTTCTGCTGTGTTGCCCCTTCAAGTCGTTGACGCTTTGCGGTGGCTATCTGTTGTGTCTTTGTTGTTGCGCGCTCGCATACGCAGGTTGCAATCCCAACAAGTGCCCCCTGCCCACCGTGTGCGCGCTGAACCAGCGTCGCGTGCGCGTCAACAACGACACGGAGTGCTGCGCTGTCTACAAGTGCGAGTGTAAGAGCAGCGTCCTTCACCCGCATTCACCCGGCAGCCGTGGCGGAGCGTGGTTGACGTGGGGGCCCCTGGCGCAATGCATCACCCCCCCCCCCCTATTTATAAACTAAACTATTTAATATTTTGTCAGAAGTGACCTGTCGGCACGTAATGATAGCTCAACGGAGTGGCTTATCGTGTGGACATTTATGTCGGCCAAATACTTTAAACGCATGTTTCTGAATGTGGAGGGAAAAACCGGGCGACCCAGAGAAAAATTCCAGGTGACCACGGGGAGAACATGCAAACTGCAAATATACAGGCGTCAGGGTCGGGATCAAACCCAGGGCCTTCTCTATACCAGGCGAGGTAGTTAACATCTCGCTACCGTGGTGTATTATAGCCTGATGCCTGGGCCCATCCAGCCCACGGGTCCCGATGCAATTGCACCGCTTGTACACTCGGTAGCGATGCCACACGGCCCACGAACTCGCCTTGATAAGTTCAGCCACTGCAATTCTCAACCCGCCTACAACAATACATGGAGCTTGGGGTGCAGCGGCATGCCGATTAACAGCAAGTCTGCAGGATCCTGATATGTGCATCGAATCACTTTTGCAATAACCTGTTTTTCGATAAAATATATAGAATGACGATTTGCCCATGGCACAATTATGCTAATGCGGTGAACAAAATTGTACAAACGAGAAAGAGTAATCTGTGAAATAATGCAAACGCAACGGTAATAAGTATAACCCGTAAAAACAAAGTTTTTCACTATAAATCCTTTATATGCGTGGCGGCTAGAGTCCTCTCGTCCTCTGGCTTGAGATGGCTGCCACCTATGGGTCAGATGATTGCATTGCACCATTAAGCAATTGGTAATTAAATATAATATTTTTGTCCTAAAAAGTGTACAATTATGGGGAACATTTTTTCACGAACATTAATTGTCACGCACAACGAGTCTGTGTGGAAAATGTCAGCTCGATTGGATCACGGGAAGTGGGTTAAAAAACGACCGAAAGATTTGCACGGTCCTAAGCAAGCAAGCGAACTTAATATAAAGGATTTAAAAATGGGACGAAATGGAATCGAGTCTTGAGCAGTGGAAGGGGTTGGTAATGGGGGTTCTTGCGAGTTATTATTATGATAGCCTTAAGAAGACCCACGTTGTGTTTTTAATTGACCCAACCACGCTAACATTTGCTCCCCGTGCTCCTTACAGCCCCAGCTTGCGTGAGCGCTGGACTGACCTATCAGGTGGGTGCACACATTGAATTCTATTTTACTCAATCACAGTAACAACAATTGTACCACGCTGTCTTCCTCTCGAGTTCTCCAGCATGACAGCAATTTCCTGGCTCAGGTTCCCTCCATCCTGTCCGATCTTGCCCTTCATTCATTCAGCGATACGCATTCCCATTCTTCTCATTATCCAGCACTGGACGGCTACCATTCACCACAATGTGACCAAACAACATTTCGATTATTCCACAAATCACGACCCCTAATCGCGACAATTCATTGCATCTCTTATGAGGGTGTCTCGTTCCTTCCAAAATGAACACATCTAGCCGTACACTATATCCACCGCTTAACGAACACCATTATTGGACTCTGTATAACACACACTTGCGTGCGTTTGTGTGTTTGTGTGTGTGTGTGCTTTGTCCTTGCATCGCTCCGTGATCCCTCGGGTGGTTTGCAGGTCGGAGAGAAGTGGTCGCCCAACCAGGACGTGTGCGTCGTGTGTGAGTGTCGCTGTGACGGCGTGAGTGTCTACGAGTTCTGCACGGCCACGCAGTGCCCCGAAGTGGACCCAGGCTGCCCACTGGTGAGTGCTCATCTGTCTGTACGTCTCTTTGTCCATCTGCTTGTCTCTCTCTGTGTGTGTGTGTCAAACATTGGGGAGCGGAAGTGTAGAGGTTAGCGTGCTGTGCTATGAACTCGAGTTCGATTCCCGCTCACGGCCAACACCAGTGACGGTTATCTGAACCGGTCCTGGACCTCCCCTAGGTCGACTCAACCTCAAATGAGTACCTGGTGCGGTGTGTACTTAACATCGCCACTGGGGAGACAAAGATGGTCGGGCGAGGTGCTGGCCACCCACCCCCTCGTATGCTGTGCAGGCCTTCATAGGTGCTCACTAACAGCACTTGTCCCAACAGTCTGTTAAGGCTATACGGGGGATTTTTGTCAATGTCTTTTTGTGTCAAACTGTCCGTTTGTTTGCCTTTCTGTCTCTGAATCGGTCTCCCCTTTTGTCCATTTGTCTGTTTGTTCAGTCATCCGTCTTTCAGCTTGTCTTTGTGTCTTTCCATGTTTGAATCTCAGTCCCTCCATCTATCCATTGGACCATCTGTCCATGTTCATATATTTTCCTCGATGTCTGTTTGTCTGGCTGTATATCTGTTTGTCCTTGTGTCTTTAAAGGAAAATACTCTACACACCTTTGAACAATCTCCGAGCAAACTCTGCATGCGTGATCCCGGGGATAATGTAACCGTACACGATGTGAAATGATCGTTGTGTTCTTGTAAAACTCTACATGTCAAGGGGAAAGATATTTAAGTGGCGCGACCCCATGGGAATCACCCGAAATACCTCTCAAGCTCTGTTCAAATGTGCATACATTAAATATACAAATAGAACATAGCGAATACTGGCAGCATCTTGTTCCAGTCACCAGTTTAAACATGCTGATATTATGCCTGAACACATTGTTCACGTGGCAGGAACGATTATAGTATGGCTATTCACATCAGCTTGATACAAGTTACTATTTCCTTTTTTTAAATCAGGAAAATCCCACTGAGCTATTTGTTCTTTTTCAGAGGTGACTTGGCACCATGTGGTAGCTCACCGAAGTGACTTATATAATCAACACACGTGGGAATGTATCATTAACAGCAGCCAAATACAGTCATCTAATCGCATGATGCTAAATGCGGAAGGTAAAACTGGAGAAACCGGAGTAAAATCCACGCGATCACGGGGAGAGAGAGAACCCGCGAACTCCAAATATGCGGGCATTGTCAGGGTCGGGATCGAACTCACGACCTCCTTCGTACCAGGCGAGGAAGGTAACATCGGAATATGATGTTGGATGTGAATCGTTACTCGTTACTTGAAACCCGTCCTCTCACCCGTCTCGTGTCGTGCTCTTGTCGTGTGCAGAATGCAGTGAAGACGACCGCTGACGGCTGCTGCAAGTACTGCGACTACAGTAAGTGATGGCAGCCGTCAGTCCTTGAACCTGAAGCGCACATTAGCAAGTGTGGAGCGGTGGTTGATGCAGTGTACCATGAGCCCAGCAAAACCTGACTTTGATTCTGAGCCATGGCTAACATCATTGACGAGCAACACATGAAACGGTCATGGCCAGGCACCATCTTCACAAAGCCCCGCACACATGCACTTAAGCGGTTACGCGCAAACCACGCAATGGCTTGCCTTTGCAAAAGCCCGTTTCACCCCCGACCCAACCCTGACCTCACCCCGACCCCGTCACCCCTTTGTGCACCCTGCAGAAGCGGTCGGCTGCAGCGTCAGCTCGGCACCGCAGTTCCTGGAAGCGAACGGCTGCGTGTCGGAGACGCCCGTGAACATGACCCAGTGTGACGGGCAGTGCTCGTCGCAGTCCGTGTACAGCGCGGCGTCCAACGCCTACCAGAAGGAGTGCAGCTGCTGCTCGGCCCTCGAGACGGTGACGCTGACGGCCACGCTTCTCTGCCCCGATGGCTCGCGGGTTCTGCACGCGTACGAGGCGGTGACGCGCTGTGCCTGCATGTCCTCGCAGTGCGGGCCCGAAAGCCCGGTGCACTCGATCGCGTTGATGTAAAACCCCCCCCAACACCCCACACACACCTCCCTCCCGAAAAGCATGGAGAACACGCAGATGCGCATTTGTTACAAACCTTCCGGATCTCAGCGCGTGGTGGACAAGCTGCGCCTGCGTGGAATTATTTGATTGCAGAAATGAATGTAAGGAATTAAATGTCAGGGAATGTTTAGGAAGGCAGCGGCGCAGATTTGATTTTGAGCGAGTGAACCGTTCTATCGGTATCATGGCGTGAGATGAAGGGGGTCCATTTGGAACGCTCGTAAAACAGTCCATCGCCCCGTATCAGAGAATGGTCCTTTGGAAAGGGATATCGAGAAGCTACTTTGTCAGTCCACTGCTGGGATTTTGGCAGTTACTGGTGACCGGGCTGCGATCGTTATCTCATCAAATTTAGCGAGCTGAAATCCGGATTCAAACCCAGGATCTCAGAGTAGGCAGCCCGGTTGCCCTGAACTCTGTGCCACCTGGCCACCTCCCAGCATGTCATGGAATGTTACAGGCATCACAATGCTGTAGGTATCACAATGCTGTAGGTATCACAATGCCATAGGTAGCACAATGCAGGACTCCAAAGAAGATTCGGGTGACTCGGTTAGGCTTTCTTGGGTAAATAATTTGCACCATTACGAGGTGTATGGCACGGTGTGTACACGATGGAATTCATTCCTCCAGGTGCTGCGAGCGTTTTGAGGTCCGGCAGTGATCTGCGTCAGTGTTTTTCGGGAACGTGTGAATTAAAAACAACAAGCATATCGACTCGACAAAGAGGCGACATGATTGGTCGCATAGTGCTTATTAGTTCTCTTATTTTCGTTTGTTTATGATTCTTGCGAATTGTTACAAAGATGGCTTCAGTATGGAGATTCTACTGACACTGCGCCAAGGTAACTTTTGTTGTGTAACTGCTGCCAGTAAACAATTTGAACCTTACATCGAGTGGAGATTCTAGGACACGGTAAATAGGGCGCAATAAGGGTAGGCACCAACTAATATGGGAGTGGGGGGGGCATTTATAGCCATGTCCTCAATGTAAAACTCTATGAGTGGGATGAGATTGTAAGAGCACACCTTAGATCGTGATATGTCGACTGTGCAACCGCTTATGGCATCTGGCCGAAAAAAGCAATGGCAAGTGTGTCACGTTTATGGAATATTTGGCTGCTAATACATTTCCACGTGACGATAAGCCACTTCGTTGGGCTATCGTTTGCGATGACCAGGTCGCTTCTTAAAAAAAAGCTGTACAGCTCAGTGGGCCTTACCTGATAAAATAAAATAGTGTGCAGTTGTATATTGAACTTGAGCGCCTTTCCAGCCACCACAAGAAGCTGCCTCTGAATAGTTGGCAGCATCTGGCACGTGGCAGAGCGGGGGGCACTGTTGTTTATTTGAGTGAATTGTCCCCCTAAGACACCCCCCCCCACCTCACCCAACCATATATTCACCACTGCCGAGACCTAACACGACTTCCATCTTACTGGCATCGAGTTATACGATAGAGTATTGAGGCTGCAGCTGGTGTCAATGTAACTTTTACTGGATCCGAGTTAACATGTGTGCGCAATGACTGAGGGCGTCTGTTATACATACCTCACTGAAATTGAATTAGGATGTATTGCAGCAAATGAAGTCACGCCTGTACAAATCACGTCCGACTGTCCACAACATAATAATATACACGTGTACTTATAGTTCATGGCTGGGAAATGATTGTTTTCATGACAATGTGGTGAACATTTGAAATGTCTCCTTTGTAGACAAGGTTGATTAATAATAAATTGTATCTTATGCAAGCTTTGACGTTTGGTTGTACTTTTTTTCCTTGGTGTCGAAAACCCAATTTGTATTTCCAAGCGGTCATTGCAAACACAAACACTTCGTGCGAATGTACAGCCCTCGTAAATTTACTGCTGGATGAGAACCACCGCATGCCGAGTGGGTTATCAAAGTTCTTTGACAACAGTGGAGAGTAAAACACAAACGAAACGATTTTTTATTTTATTTTACCAGGTAAGGCCCACTGAGCTATATAGCTCTTTTTCAGAAGCGACCTGGCCACAAATAATAGCTCAACAAAGTGGCTTATCACGTGGAAATGTATTGCAGCCAAATACTCTAAACCAGGGGTGGGGAACGTCCGGCCCGCGGGCCGTATAAGGCCCGCAAAATCATTTGGTCTCTGGCCCTGCCAAGGCAACCGCAGGCGGGACTCGAAATTCAATAAATCTAGCAGCAAACCTGGAAAAGCAGTTGCGAGTAGCAACATCATCATCAATACCAGCTACACGCCTCACCAAAAAGAAGCAGTTCCAGCCATCACATTAGGAGTGAGTTAATTAAATGTTTGACCAATTATAACAGGCTAATTTAGAAGTTGATAATTTAGTATGGCTCGCGAATTATGTTATACATATTTAAATGGCCCTTGGCAGAAAAAAGGTTCCTCACCCCTGCTCGAAACGCACGTTGATTCTAAATGTGAAGAGGAAAACCGAAAAAGTCGTGCGACCACAGGAAGAAAGAGACACGCAAACTCCAAACACAGCAGCAGGCGTCAGGGTCGGGGTCGAACACAAGACCCCCTGTATACCAGGAGAGGTAGATAACATCTCACCACATCACCGGGCCGGTCACTATGTCATAATGGACTGGGGCCAATTCCAACGCCGATTCGAGGTGGCTAAAGTCAGCGTGGTTGACTGAAAGTGACCGCTTTGCAGGAGCTTCCCATACACTCTGACGACGACGTGCCGAGGACAGGAGAACAGAGTAACAGACCCGCCATGCTACATATGGGTCATCGCTATGGCCCTTCAACAATAGCGGCACTCACACAAGATTTCCAGACGAGGGCACGACAACCTGAAGAGTCCACGAGGGCGTATTCAGAATGCGTCGAATCAATCAATTATAATGTCCCACTTAACACAAGTGACTGCCAAGTTGACCATATTAGTTTCTCACTCCACGTGAGCAGCTGCGCGATCAGCACACTTCATATCAACAACCACCGAATTTTTTTTCCCTCCTCCACTTAAAAAAATTGCGCAAATCAAAACGTTGCATTGTCCACTTGACTCACACAAGTGTCCTTATTGCCACTCGGCCCGCGTGCCCGAGCCCTTCACACTGATTGGTGTAGCGATTGGCTCGACATTCAAAAATCCGGCCAATCGTGACCTGCTCGTGATGACAAATCGATACCGCGGAGCGTTCTGATTGCTCAGCGATGACGATCAACAAGTATTCTTCATGTATCTTCTTCCACGCGTTTGTCCCACTCACGTGGCCACCATGGTCCGATCGCATCACATCACTCCGTCCACCTCTTATGCTGCCTTCCTCTTGATCTCTTTCATTCCACTTGCATCACTTGCACCATCTGATCCACATCATGTTTCTGTTGTCTCTCCGCATGACCGCACCACACCAGCCCTTTCTCTCTCATCTTCTCTGTGATTTCTACCACCTTGAGTCTTCCTCTCACTTCTTCATTTCTCACCCCCTGTCCCCTTCCTTGTTAAACCCAACATCCACCGCAACATCCTCATCTCTGTGACTGCCATAGCTTGGTTCCCTCCTCTTTCTTGTGCCCCAGCACTCGGCCCCATACAACAGCACCGGCTTAACCCACAGCCTTGTACAAGTATTCAATCGTATCCAGTCCTATAAAAAAAATAAAGTTTTGGCTTTTGCTGGCTCATGCGGTGGTGGACGTCACCGCGCATGCACGCCTTGTGACGTCACGAGCATCGTGTGGGCGCGTGCCGACGTCACGTGCCTCTCCCCCACCCCGCCCTCCAACCCGGCAGTGTATCCCGCTTAAATGCGTGGGCAGTGTTCGTTTTAAATAACACGAATTATTCGGTGATACAGAATTTGCGTTGGTAGTGGTGCACACGCACAAATACAACAACAAGTCGGCTCTTAAAATAAATGTTTCTTTTATAGGCGACTTTTAGAGCAATATATCTTCAAAGCACTGCCCGAAACATCACCTATTATATATTGTTTATATGTTCCTTTAAAGCAGTGTTATTAACACACGTGTTGAGTTTTTTGTTAGAATTACGTGTTTATTTTAATTTAATAACAACACCGCTTTGTTACTGTGCACCGATGGTCCCGTTTAGCCAGCTGCTCGACTATTTTGCACGCGGGATCCGTGATGCGACAGCACAGCAACAAGGACACAAAAAACGCCAATATCGCAGAGAGCGATTCCGGGATCCTGAGTGACAGTTGTGTGTGTGTATGTTGAACTTCTTTCGCACCGTACGTAGCCAACCGTGCGAGTCGGAGGTGTGGAAGGACAACAAAGCCATAATACAGAAGCAGCAGCAGCAGCAACCCTCACTTACCAACGGGGAGAAGTATGGTCAAACTATATTTGAGTGTCACGGCGTGAGGATAACCTTCGGCAAGTAGTGGATTGACGGTCCCATATCCACCCACACAGACGACTGCACATCCACCACCCACACAAATGTAAATCATCGTAAACGCCAAGCGTTTTGCTGACTGCATAACATACACTTCAACCAAAACCAATTGTTTTAGATAAAATAGTGAGCAAGGAGGCATGCTTATACTGCATATATTTCTAGCAACTGAACTGCTATATCTTTGTGGTTCTTTCGGTAAAGTCACGTAAAAGGGAAATAATAAAATAATAATAAAATATAATAAAATAATTCTCACGACGTTTCGGCCACAACACCGAAAGAACCAAGAAGATGAATCCCTACAGTCACGAAAGCTTTAAATCGAAATTGAACTGCTATAGCAGCGGTCGGGAACCTATGGCTCGCGAGCCATATATGGCTCTTCCGGTGACGGCATATGGCTCCCAGACAATTTTGAGTTGAAAAAAAAATCAGTTTGGAACTGATTTTAAAAAACTTGTAATATTGCTTAATAATACTGTGTCATTTTAAAGTAAACAGAAATTAGTTTTGAAGATAAATTTCACGGGTCACGGGTCCCGTGACCAGAAGTCGCATTAAAAGTAAGACATATTTAATTTATTATACGTTAAAAATACTATATGGCTCTCAATGAAATATATTTAGAAATATTTGGCTTTTATGGCTCTCCCAGTAAAAAAGATTCCCGACCCCTGTGCTATAGTGATGATGCTGTGGGTGTATGTAATGATGAGTATACAGAGCTTGCGGTCAAGATGTCACCGGTTCGTCCTCGTTGCTCGGCAGTTGAAACAATGGGCACCTGCCCACCCAGAGGTCTCAATGGGATGGAGCAGTGTTCTTCACTCATTTGCAGGGGGAGGTCACTTTCGCTACAATTGAGTGCCACGGTGAGAGACGTTAACAGTTTTGCAATAGGAGAGTGGAATTTTGCAAGGCTGCTTCCACCAACGCAATGTGCGGCAGATCCGTCGAATTCTACGATCGTATCTCGTCGTCTCCGTCTCCGCGTTTGTCTCCCTCTGTGTCTTCGTCTGTCTCCATGTCTCTCGGTACGTCTCTCTCCGTACGTGTCACAATATCTGTGCGCGTGTGTGTCTCTGCGTAACGGTGTCTCTGTGGATGTCCCCGTGTCTCCTTAGCGTCTGTGTGTGTCGCCTTAATCCCCGTGTGTCCTCGGCTTTAATGCACAATATCGCGTATAACAGCACTTGCCCCAAGTATGTTCAAGGCTATATGGGAGATCTTTATCTTCGTGTCTTCTCGTCTCATGTATCTTCGTGTCCACGTTCCCCTGCGTGTCTCTGTTTTATGTCCATTTGTGTCTCTCGCATTGTCTCCTGGTCTCAATGTCTCCGCGTCTGCCTCCGTCTCTGTGATGGTCTCCGTTGTGTGTCTCTCTCTCCGCGCCTGCGTTGGTCACCTTGTCTCTCTCTCTCTCTACCTCGACAGGGGCCCACGCATGTGCCCCGTCTATCGTGTGCCCCAGGCCGCGATGTGCGCTCGCCAACTCGCTGGGAGCTCGCTGCGTCGCCGTGGGAGGGAACCGTGAAGGAGGCGAAGTGACTTCGTGCAAGCGACAGGCGTGTTTGGGCATCATCACTCATTAAAATTGCCCCTGAATCCTATTGAACCGGCAGTGTTCATGACGCGCTCAACCTCCTCACCCTCCCCAACCACCTCGTCACGTCTAATGAATATCCCCTGCAACAATAACAACGCTGCGTTTAATAAGCAGCGTCCGTGCGTGCGCGTGGCGCGTGGCAGGTGACCGTCTACCAACGCTGTCTGCAGGTAATAATCTCATCATATATAGAGCGTCCCGATGTTCCATCATCATCATCATTATCATATTCTCATGCGTAAAGATATAATCATCAGATCCGAAATTGTAGCGCAGTGCGCCAGTCACTTAAACAGAATCACGGACATACACACACATAACGTGAGGCAAATGTCCACTGGTTTGTTTCGTCGGCTATCTAATGGAATAACGTCTCTGGAAGTGACCCCTTATTCGAAGTTGCTCGAAAGTGTTCATGAAAAACGTCGCAGCGGTGCCTTCCTTCACGGTGCGAGTGCTCGCTGCTGCTACAGCTGCTGCTGTGGGTGTCGTTCGTTTTTTGTAAAAAAAATCATTAATAATAATAGAAGAGCGACACCCAGAGCTAGAAGTGCGTGCATCGGCGCTTCGGTTCGGATAAAACTGCCCGTGGGTTGCCCTCAGCAGTCGGAGGGCGACCGAGTGAGTCGAGGGGACGCGCGCGTGAGTTGGGTGAGTCGGTGAGCGAGTCCGTGGGGGGTGGATGCACCGATGCCTTCGCGATTACTTTGTTACGTATATTCTCCACAACGACGCGAATGAT